TTTTAAACAGGTACGAGTTCAAGATTCTTGATATCAWAATGTTTGAAAATCTTGTCTATAAGCGTGTGTGTGCTAGCCACTCGAGGCTAGATAGCTTTATGATGAAATGATGAATAYAATAATTTCCTTTATTGTTTTGAATAAACAAAGTGAGGAGCGTAATGTCSAAATTTGGTATTGCGTCACGATTCAATCAAAACTTTAATCTTTTCTTGGTTCTCAGTGTTATCTGTGATACAGAATCATGCTATTTCCTCTGCTGCTTTTTCTTTCTCTTTTTTCGAGATCTCTATCTACATCCAATTATTCTTGCCTGCTGCTTCCGTTCTCATTATACACTTTTCTCGTATTTCACTTTTCGCTGTTCCTTTTTTTTTCAGTTTTTTTTTTCATTTCACCTCTTCCTTTTCAAAAAATATCCTTATTGTTCTTCCTATAACCGTTTTTATTCCTTCACAGACTTCTATTTTACGCTGTTTTTATATTTATAAGCTGAGTTCTGTTTTACGACATGTAATTGTTYATTAATACTCAGATTCATATTGATTTAAGTGAGCGAAACCACGCATTTTTTCGGTTCACTGCTAATGACTTGAACACACAGTACACTACGCAAAATCACTGGCACGCGATGAAATAATTTTGTACAAAAAAATAATGTATATTCGCCGAAAAATCGATTACTTTTCTACTCTTGCTGAAGGGGTTTTYACTATGTCTTGATAGGCATAAGCAAAGACCGCCTGCATGYGATTGGTYGATTATAAGAGGCTCTGCGAAAAGGCATCGCTTGAATAAGCGCGAGTAATTATGACTTTTTAAGGTACGAGTACTCGATATGTTATCTTCTGCCAAGATAAACGCTGTTTATCACGTAGAGTTGCTGGTGGTTGTGCAATGTTTTGATACTTTCAGGCTAATTTTAGGAAAATTGAAGGAATTGTACGGCCCATCATTCTTGCAAATATTCCTGGGAAGTCTTTTCAATGTTCAAATCTGTTTCCTCGTCAAAGCAAAGGTAATGAATATTTAGTCATCTTTTACCGAATAGCATAGAGAGATTGCTTGAATCGACGACTACTAATGCTACAAATATATGTCCATATAGATGACCGGCATCAACCATAGTAGAAGTCTATAGCGGATTATTTCAATTTGAATTTATTGAGCTGTTGAAATTTAAGTTTGATATATCGGAATGATTTTCGACAATTAGTCATATAAATCCTTTCTGTTAGAAAATGCAAGCTAAATTGCAAAACAGCTAGCATTATTTTTTTGTTTCATTGTTCAAAAGTACTGAGTGAGAAATGTATATTAAACACAAGAAGGTTAAAGCATTTTGTTTCTAATATAAAACATGCTAATAGCAAATGTTTTGCATTTCGCCAGATTCATTGGTGCTGACGTCAGAATTAAAAAAACCTCAGTGATACGATAAAGCATCATG